TGTGGCCCTCTTTGGGTTTATCTTGTTTGGTGCTCTCTGTGCTTCCTGTACCTGGATCTCTGTTTCCTTCCTTAGGTTAGGGAAGTTTTCAGCTATTATTTCTTCACATAGATTCTCTGCCCTTTTGTCTCGCTCTTCTCCTTCCGGGACACCTATAACATGGATGTTAGTGTGCTTGATGTTGTCCCAAAGGTTCTTTACACTGTCCTCGCTCTTTTTAATTCTTTTTTCTTTTATCTCTTCAGCTTGGGTGATTTCTTCTAGTCTTTCTTCCAGCTTGCACATCCATTCTTCTGTATCTTCTACCCTGCTTTTGAGTCCCTCTAGTGAATTTTTCATTTCCAGCATTGTATTCTTCATTTCTGATTTGTTATTTTTTATATATTCCATTTCTTTGTTGACATTCTCACTGAGTTCATCCATTCTTCTCCCCAGATCAGTCAGCATCCTTAATATTGTTTGTTTGAACTCTCTGTCAAGTAGGTTGCTCATTTCTGTTTCACTTAGTTCCTTTTCTGGGGTTTTGTCCTGTTCCCTTACTTGGAACATATTCCTTTGCCTCCTCATTTTGTCTCTTTCTGTGTGCTTGTGTCTATGTACTAGGTAGGTCAGGTATGTCTCCTGCTCTTGGAGAGCTGACCTTATATAAGTGATGCCTTATCAGGCCTCTCAGTGTGCTTCCCTCAGTTCCGAATGTTCCAGGAGTGACCTCTATGTGGGTTATGTGCGTCCTTCTGTTGTGGTGTGGTTGCTCTTCCCGTAGGTGCCCAGGGAGGCTGAGCTATGCCTCTGGCCAGCTGTTGTAATGCTCAGCTGCTTGTAGTTGTTGTGGGCCCTTCAGTCTCTTTATCAGGTTTGGGGAGCCCCACACAGTTGGCTACAAGTTCTAATAGCACATTCCTATTGCAGTATTTCTGTTAAGTGAGTAGGCCCCCAGTGTGGCAGGTTGTTAGGCTCAGGGACTCACAATTGCTATAAGCCTCCAGCCTTTAGGTCTCTTGTCAGCTTTCTGAGGATAACAGCTGGGGGGACCTGGCCTCAGGCATGGGAGCACCCAATTGTTTCAGGCTTTGGAAGGTAGGGCTGATCCCCTATGTGGCTGTTTGAGAAGCACAAGTCTTCTGCAGCTGGCAAGCCCCACCTCCCACAGGTCCACATACACAGTCAACACAGTCCTGCCCTGTGTGCATGTCCCGACCTCCTGAAGTAGACCCAGTCTCTCCAAGGCGGGAGCCCCACACACTCCATCACCACCCCATACTCTCCACCCACTCCTTGCACATGCCCTGCCCCACAGAGAAGTGGACCCAGAAAGCAGGCTGCAGAGAATCCGGTCACCAATCTATGCAGGGCCACAAGTTGCCTGTGGGCTTGTTGTTGGGTGGGGCCAGTCCCTAGGGTGGGCTGAGCTGGATTAAATCGGTGCTCTAGTGAGTGAGGCAGACCTTGGGCTAGCAGGCCCCAGGGAGAACTCCAATGGCATCTGCTAATGTCTGTGTCAGCACTCCCACACCAAGCCACAACAATGGCAGCCACCAATGTCCCAGTCCCTGGAGAGGTCTCATCTCTCACGGAGATGCATTCAGAGCCTATCAAGTGAGTCTCTTTTCACCAAAGGACTGTGTACCTTTCTTTCTGGTGATTTTAGGTTGCTTTCTGAAATGGGTGAGTTTCTGTGTGGGCCCTTTAAGAGCTGGTTTTAGTTTCTTTGTGAATCAGCTTTTCTGGGGGTACTCACCAATGTTTTAGTAGCAAGCAAAGTCAGATATTATGCCACTCATCTCGATTGTGCTGGGTCCAAAAAATGTCTACAGCGGGGGAGCTCCACGGCTCAGGGCCCCACTTCTCCATGGAGGGCCGCGTATCTGTGGGCTGTTCCCAGGTGGCCATGAAGCTGGAGGCTTGTGAAGGTGGCATTTTTCCTCTCCAGAAGGGAATTTCTGCCTCTTCCACCTCAATTAGGATTATTGTTTGTTGCAGGAGTTCCTCTCATCCAGTTTTCAGTTCTGTCTCAGGGGTAATTTTTCCAAGAGTAGTTGTAAATTGGCTGTGTCCATGGGAGGAGGTGAGTTCAGAGTCCACCTATGCCGCCATCTTGACTTGTCTCCGAATACTTCACTTCTGACCCTTTAGACAGAGTAACGAGGGATAGAGTGGTCAGGGAAGATTGCTCTGGACACGTGGTATTTGAGTTCAGCATGAAAGATAAGAAAGGACAAGTCACACTAACATTTGTGGAAAGAAAAGAGTGGTAAAGGAATTTGTTGCCTCTTGGGAACAGAATGGAGGAGGCCAAGGGAGGAAGTGGCATGAGATGAGTTGGAGAGACCACTAGGGTGCAGATTTTGCAGGCTCTTGTAGGCCATGATAAACTATGGATTTTTTTTCTATTTATAAGGGGAAGTGGTTGAAAGTTTACAAGCAGAGAAGTGACATGATATAATTTACGTTGTAAATAAAGTACTCTGGCTAAAATTTCATATTAGTGTGGTGGCAAGAGCACCATTAAGAGGCTATCACAGCAAAGAGTTGATGGTGGTGTGGGCTTGGGTGATAGTGATGGCAGTGGAGAAGAGTGGAGAGTTGAACAAACCAATGGTTTGATTGTGGTCTTTATTCCCTTTTACTCCATCCTCAGCTCCTGTTTTTCCTGTATTCCCCCCATAGACAACCATGTGTTTGTATGTGCTCTGACCAAATATAGGTCTTATTGTTTTGTATTGATGTATTTTTAATTTAGGTAAATGGTTTTGTGTTATAGATCTCATTTTCCCTTCTTAAAATTAACCCTATATCTTTACAACGCATCCACGTTGCAGCTGATATCTGTTTCTAACAGATTACTCATAATACTCCAAGGTGAACACGTTTACCACATTTTATCCATATCTTCTCCAAGTGACGCACAACCAGAATGCCTTCAGCTCTTCGCTACCATAACTAAAGCAGCAATGAACATACTCGTGGATGTCTCGCTCTTCTGTAAATTGACCATAATTTGGACTGCTAAGGTTACATATACACTAGAGAGACTGATCAAAAAATAAGTCTCACTTTTCAAATCAGACCTGCCATCTTTTTCCTCATGTTGATTAATAAATCATTATCTGCTTCATGCGTCCATCTTTTTTAGGTTAGTTAGCATGTTGAATCTCCCAAGCTGATTAACTGGTTAACTCAAGTTTTTGCACCTGCACAGCAGTGACTCCTGCAAGACATCTGTTCTCTGTTTGACATCGCTTTAATTTTATTAGTGGCTTATGGACAAAATCACTTGACTGAAACTTTTTCAAGTTTAAGTTATTTGGATTCACAAGAGCATTTTTCTCCGTTATAAATCAATGAACCTAGTCAAGATTAACTGCCTACACGTGAGTTTCAAAAGATCCTCTATGGCCAGAGTTGAAAGAAACACATAATTCCACAACACACTAAATACAAGCTGATCAAAGTTATTGGAGCCTGTTACTGAATGCTGTACATCCGCATTGTCATACAATCTGATTTCAAGTAGTTTGAATCTAAAACATATATCACTAGATCTCAAAAAGTCTTCCTTTGGAAAAAAATTCATCACTTCTGTATCTTGACTTGTCAAAACGTGTGTTTAGATGTGTCTAAACTAAACTCTGGGCTAAAAATTTCTGAACGTAATTTGTGAAATTCCTTATGTTTTAGGAATTAGAGCAAAAAGAAAAGAAACATAGCTAATGAACCATTCAAACAAGGACAATTCCTATGGAAAATAATCATGGAATCCTAGAAGCAAAAGGAATCATAAATCCTTAGATATTACATAGTGAAGAGGGGGGTTGTTCAAGCCCTTGGAATTCTAAAGAAGTGCCAAGGGGCAGTCATGTGAGAGTTGAAGAGATCGACAGGGTGGGGCTCACTAAAGCAGCTTTCCTTTTATCTGTTATATATATATTTTTTCTTTAATTTTGTGCTTTTAGGTAACAGATGATTTGGAAAAAAAAAAAAGTACACTCCTTAAAAATAAATTGAAAGTCACTGATCTAGCCCAGTCTTTCATACAAATCAGTTCCTTCTATGACATCCTTGACAGGCAGTAATCCAATATCTGCTTGAACACTGCTGTCATTGAGTTCACTATCCCAAAGCAGCTCATTTCCATATTGGATATCTCAAGTTCTTGGGAAGTTCCTCCCTTCTAGAGTGCCAAGTTTTACCTCCCTATAAATTCTAAGCCCTAGTTATGTCCTCTGGGATAATACAGAATTCCTATTTGTTACCTCCCTCCTCCATGTCCCTTCAGAACTTGAAGTACACTATTTTTTTTCATGTTCCATACTTTATGTTTTTAGACTAATTTTAATCTCAGAATTACATATCCATACATCTATTTCATTTTTTTGTTGATTTCACTTAAACTTAAATGCATGGTGTGTTACAAACTGCAACCAAATATTTACCATGTCTGTTACATGTAACCCATAGGAATAGCTTTTTAATAGAAATTCATTGACCCCCCCGAGACATTTTTTTATTATAAAGATAGGTATCAAAACAATCCTGTATATATTTTTGCTACTACTAGTAGTCAGCACCCACACGGCTTCAAAAATTACCACAATTTGTGACAATATTCATTGTACCTGCTACTTTAGACAATTTAAATTGAGCTCTTTCGCTAAGCAAGATGGATAGAGCATGGCATTTCTGTTTTTCCTTCTTGAGATTTTTACTTTTCAGAAACACATGCTTCCACAGCCATCTGACACTTCTTGCCATGCTTTCATCTTGTAAATCTGAATTCTATTTCAGGTACTCCAGGTTTATGCTACAATGACCGTGCCTTAGCAAGAGGGAAAAAAATTGTACTGTATTTTTCCACTGTTATCTGAAAACATAATTAGTATACATATATTAAATATATTCTTACAAATGCCTGGGTCATGTTTACCAGCCAGAATTCTTCTACTTAATGCATGGGTATGTTTCATTGTGATATTTAATCAAGACATTAATATGAATAGAAGTTTGTAGATTTAAGACAAGTTTGAGATCCACTAATATTAATTGTTGTATGTTTGTGCTTTGGGTGGCTGTGGAAGCCTCATATTTTCTTTGGACGTCATTAGACATCTAAGCTCTTGAAGTCCAACTTTAATGCTATGCAAATTTTGCCATTTTGTTAACACTGATATGTTCTGAGCATCCACCATTCCATTGGAATTATTTATTCCGTTAATATTAATTTTTGTTACAAATCTAACTGGCAGAGGAGCTTCTGAGTATTTAGGTCCACATTCTACTTTCTGGCTATGTATTCGGTTTTCATAATTTGTCTGTGGACACCACCATCTTTTCCTGTGAAGTAAACTATTAACATGTCAGGTTTTTTTTGTTTTTGTTTTTTTTTTTGTGAGGAAGATCAGCCCTGAGCTAACATCCATGCTAATCCTCCTCTATTTGCTGAGGAAGACCGGCTCTGAGCTAACATCTATTGCCAATCCTTCTTCTTTTTTTTTTTTCCCTAAAGCCCCCGTAGATAGTTGTATGTCATAGTTGCACATCCTTCTAGTTGCTGTATGTGGGACGTGGCCTCAGCATGGCCGGAGAAGTGGTGCATCAGGGCGCGCCTGGGATCCGAACCCGGGCCGCCAGTAGCAGAGCGCGGGCATTTAACCGCTAAGCCACGGGGCCGGCCCGACATGTCAGTTTTGTCCAGGCTAAGCAGGCTCAGTTCCCTAAACACATAGCTCTTAAAATCACCAGTGGAATATTTTCTTTTATTCACATTAGTTGCTCCTTATCTTTGTCCTCACATCACCTTAGAGTTGGACATTTACTTTCTGTCTTCCCTACTATACAAATATGCATCTTGAAGGCATGGATTATGACTTTCTTTATTTTGGTATCCCCAGGGCATGAGCCCAGCAGGTTACAGTAGACACTCACTCTATATTGGTTGGCAATTAAATTCAAAGCACAATATATCTTTTTACGAACTACAACTAAAAGATGATAGGTAATGAAAACAGACCCTAAAATCTTAGGCTTGCGTAAACCTAACTATCAGCCATGAGCAGAAACCTTCACCTTTCCAAAATCCACATTTTGGCCCCTTCAAAACTCTTCCTTTTCCTCAAGACATGTAGAATAGTCAGGAAGACCACCTGAGGAATGATGAGGAAAGTGTTTTTAAAGTGTGGTCTCCATCAATACAAAGCAAAGCAAAGAAGTAAAAGTGCACAAAAGTCCAGCCATACAGTTCCATTGGAAAGACTGAGACCTCTGATAGTGCCCTCTCAAAGGAACAGAATGTTTGGGCACCTGTGGGGATGGAGTGCCAGCACCACATAGTGCTGTAAGCAGTAGACTTATTTTAGGAATCAGAATCATATGCCAAGGCAGGTGGGAAAATAAAGAGTAGGTGTTCGACTCCTAGTAAACCTTGCTGGAAGAAGAAAAAGTGTAGCTATCCAGTTGATTGTGGGTGGTGAAATTATGAGAAAATTAGAAACAAAATCAAAAGTCTCAAGCAGTAGGGAACTTGGGAGAAAAAGGCGTGAGCTTTGTAAAAAGCCAAGAGTAAAGGAAACAAGTTACGCTCCAGGAAAAGCCACTGTACTCCCTCCATTTTGAAAACTTTGGCAGACTAGAGCACTAGAAAATGAAATCCAAACTCAGCCCATGGTAACTTTCCAACCTTGGATCCACAGAATAAACCTTTACCTATATACACACACACAAACATTCTTGTTTAATTTGAAAAGAAGCCTGCCAAGACTGAATGAAAAACATTCTCAACGGCCTGAGAGGAGGTAGCTCTCAGTGTGTGACTGAAAACCAAGACCTTGATGGTACAGGTGGAGCAAGACTATCAGCAGGAATATCCCCTTCACTTCCCTGACTTTCATTCACATCCGTGGCTTCATGAATGTGCATGCTGCCTGTGCAGCAATGACTCAAGTTTACGTGGTCAGCTATGACCTCTCCTCTGAGCTTTAGTCTCATGCATCCCAATGCCTACTCTATGTCTACACAGAGATGGTACAAGGGCAGCTCAATATTAACACGTGCAAAGAAGAACCTGTCATCTTTTCTCACATCCAGTGCTCTTCCAAGGGTTCTTTAGCTCAGGAAATGGCACCCTCGCCTATCCCATTGTACAAGCCAAAAACCCAGAAGTCAATGTTGATGCATCCCACCATCACATAAATATCTAACCTAGCGCCAAGTTTTGTCAGTTCTTACCAAGGTCTCCATTCTGTCCACTTATCTTCATTTTTTTCTGCCACCGCCTTAGTCTTTCTTAGCTACCATCTTGTTTCATCTTGACTACTGTCAAGGCCTCCTAACAGGTATTGCACATTCGCTCTTACCACTCCAAGCTATCCCTCATATCAAGCTTTTCATGTTTTCTCATTGTTCTTAGACTAAGAATCAGAATTCTTATCTGGGCCACAGAGATTTTAGTGGTCTGGTGCCTGCCTACCATCCCGACCTCAGCAGGTATCACTCCACTTCTTGTTCAAACTTCACACCGCACAATTTCTTTCAACGCTTCAGAACACCTACTTCCTCCCATAACAGAGTCTTTGCTGGAAGAACTGCTTCTCTTGAAATTCTCTTCTGAGCTGAACCATCCTCACTCTTCAAATCTCACCTCAAATGTCACTTCCTTAGGGAAGCCTTCTTGACACTTGGACTGGATTGAGTCCCTCATTTTTATGCTGTTATAGCACTCAGTATCTTTCCTTCCTGGCACTTATCACACTGGTGGTTTTATATTTGAATATATGTCCTTCTGATTAAAGTCTCTCGTCTCTTCTAGACAGTAAGTTCCATAGCTACAGGAACTGTTTTTGGTCTTGTCACCATTGCATCCCCAGAACCCTGATACAACCTGAGCCACGGGCATTCAATCAACATTTTTATACTGTGTTACTAAATGAACAAAAACTGACATCCAAAGGCTCAGTATGTGAAAAACCCAGAGGGTCACTACCCACTCATTCATTCACGTAGCATCTAGTATTTGAACACTGAACTCCAACTGACTACTTGATTGTTTATAAACTGAGACTAGTCCTGGTGGGCTGAGCAACGGTGTGATCTGTGCACATTAATTCCACACTCTACCCATTTAGGCCTTGGAGTACACTCACTAGGTGGTTAATAACCTAACTTTCTTCTGCAAACTCTTCTTAAAAGTCCAGCTGAATCGATGGGATTGAGCCAGAGGGAGATAAAACCCTGGCTGACCTGGTGGCTCATAGCTAAGCTTGGGGAGGTCCAAGCAGCCTTGGCTTGGAGGGAAGGAAGGGGGACTTGAGAGCAACTCTTCCTGCTCTCAGCTCCACACTTGTCTCAACAGCCAGGATGATGGCACCTGAGCCTTGGAGTGTTCATGCAAAGAGGTGAGGGAAAGACCTAGTCATTTGCATCAGAAGTTAGCCTTTAGTGAGCACAAGCTCCAATTGCACCAATAAGGGCAGGGCTCATGGCTTCTCACTTGGCACGCCACACGATGAGCCACCTCCTCAGTAAGGTTCTCTCCCTACCACGTTGTGATAGGAAATTACCTGAACAACTTTGGCCGCTGTCTTTCTATTATAAAGGATTTTGGGCTGGTACAGTCTCAACAAATTTCTTAATTAAGTTGAATATAAAAATAGGTTCACCTGATAACTACATCATCTTGTACATAAGAAATATTTAAAGACTCAGTTGTCTGGGCTGGGCTGAGATAAGAACCCATAAAATGCATGAAAAGATCCAAGTGACTAGTGTCTGCAAATATATCCCAAAAATATTTTTTACACTCTTTTGGTATGTCTAGTTCTGATCGAGTCAGGAAAACCAGATGTTAAGAGAAAGAAGAAAAAAACACACACACCACAAAACAATTTGTCTGACGATTTTACAAAAACAAAAATGAAATTAGATCATTCATTTCTCAAAATTCCAGAGTGTCGACTCTGATCTAAGTGGGTCTGCTTATCTGAAATTATACAGCGATCATGGTGAATGCCAAATCCCCTTTCCACAGAAGGCGTGGAGAGCTTTGTTTCATTTTTGTAATAATATTAACTAATATGGTGAAGCACTTTACAATTTATAAATCATGCTACATGCAATGGATACATGCATTATATTGCCGGAGTCCTTCAAAACCCTCAGAGGTTGTGTCCCATATTTTATTACCATATTAATACTATAATTAAGGAAACTAAGGCTCAGAGAAGTTCACTAGGGATAGAGTATTATTCTCATACCTGAGACTTAAAAGCCGAATCCAATCCTCTTTCCATTACTCCGCACCACTCTTTTCTTTCTTTTTTTTTTTAATTGCACCATTTAAAAATAGAATTTATTGAGATAAAAAAAATTATCTGTCAAATAGGTACCTTTGTGTTGCTAAGATAAACAGAGGTTATCAATTTTCTGCAATTTTTCACTGTTCTGTAACTTAGTGTTGATTTGGTCTACACAAAGCTCATAGTAAAAATGACAACTCCTGCTAAAGAAATGTTAACTATGAAACCTAAATCTGGTATGTTTCTCCTTCGGTGTGTTTAGGAGATAAGTTAATAGTTCTCAGTCAGTCAGGTTCCATTTTGGAACACTAAAAAAGGTCACGCCACTGTTTTCTTTTTGATCTGAATTTTCTCATTTTCATTTTTAAAAATATTTTTATTTATCAAGCAATTGATCAAAAAATACTTACTCTCAGCTGTATGCTGGAATCTGAGGCAGACATGGATGGATAAGATCCAGCGCAGTTGCCAGTTGTTTAGAATTGCTTGGGGAGCTGGGTACACCAAGAGCCAGCCACAGGCAGCAGGTCCCAAGCACCAACATTTCAGGCCATCAGCGCTGAGTACAGGCAAGGGAGAGGAAGAGTGGACCAGGAGAGTCAGAAAAAGCTGCATGAGAGGAGAAGGTGAACTAAGACTATTTGTGGAAGCTAGAATCTCAGCACCTTGCTGACAGACAGCAGAAACGCACAGTAAAAATAGCAGAGCATAAACCCAACATTGGGACTTGGGTCGTCCAATGTATTTTGGTGTTTTTGCTGCAGTTGTTTTCCTTTCCTACCTGGAGGACAACTAAGGTCTATAGAAAATGTCCTTGGACATGATTCTTTTTAATTGGATAATTATTAAATATTTTATTTTACAACACCTCTACTTCCAAAATACATAGCTATCACTCTTCTCATTCACTCTTCCCATCATGCCCGAAGGGTACGGCAAGGCAGGTTAGTGTTCTCTCTCTTTAGATGGGGAAGCTGACCTTCTGAGGGCATGCATCTGCGTGTTGCACTTTGGGGAAACAAGCCCCCTTTTTGCTTTCTTTCTACTCCGGGCTTCTGCTCCATTGCCCAGTAGGGGCTGTGTGTGTGTGTGTGTGTGTGTGTGTGTGTGTGTGTGCGCGCGCGCATGCGCGCTTTGTTTTGGCTTACTTCATTATAATGCTCTGTCACTCTTCTTATATACACACAAGGTGGAAGTAGAAGACAGGGACTTGGACAAACCTCATAGAAAATTGACATTAGAATCTTAAGACTCAGCACAAAAGCCTAGCAGTTTCTTCCAAGTTCACATGCAAAATTAACCATCTTTATTCATAACCACATGACCACCTTATCAAAAATCTTAATTCTAGAACAGTTCCAATGCAGCTGGACTGTTTCAAGGCTGCAAGGCCTTCCTAATAGTGTCTGTCATTGCTATATTTGGGGCATCTCTTTGGGGTAAGGTAAGTGCAATTGATATCTGAAGTGGAGAGCTTCCCTCAGAGCCACCCAGTTGCATAGGCTGTATAGACCCCAATTTAGCTCAAGCCTAAGTCCCTGCAATATCTTCTATTCTCTTCTTTTCTCCAGCAAACACCTTCCCAGGTCACGCCTAGGGAAGAAGGCAAGTGTGAACAGCACTTCCCACTTGGTTCATCAGGATTCCACCCCAAGAAATAATCCCTGGTTAAAGGCCAGCCTGAGTGGGAGGGCACTCTTTCCTGTCTGGATCCTTTCTCTTTCCATCAAACCCACTAATCTGACTCTCTTTTTCCACCACCAGAGGTTTTGATTTCCAACAAATGGTCCCACATACCACAGAAAATCATCTGCTCTTGGCCTCTTAGCCGGTTACCCAATGACCTCTACCTCCAATCAGCATAAATCCTCTGCTATCTCCTGAAATTCAGTCCACCTCCCACTAAGGAATTGATGAAGGTCCCTACAAGATACACCTAGTCTTCTCTCTATCTTAAGCGTTTTGGGGAAATCACTCTAAGAGTTTTGCTTTTTTTGCTCCTCAGTAAAGTAAAGCTGCTCACCCCTATCTTCTTTTTGCCCTCTTGGTGCCTGCCGCTTCCTAGATGAGACAGAAACCTTCGTGTTGCAGACATCATTTGCCTCCACAAGGAACATCACAAACCCGCTCTGAAAGGACTTGCTGTGGGAATTGGCAATTTCAAAAATTGGGTTTTCCTCATTTTAAGTCAGTGAGTTGGCCCTAGGCTAGCACATTTCATCTTCTCTTCTAAGAACTGCCCTCTATGTCAAGCAAGTCACCTCCACAATCTAGAATACTTACTCTCCTTTTGAAGGAGATCCTGATTCTGTGTTTCTTCAACTAGTGCCTGAAGTACACATGTAAATAATCTCCTGTTACTCTTTCCTCCCAGAGGACAGGCAGAGCAAACACACAATTTAGACTTAACATGCATAATGAGTTTTATGTGCTCATGGGACTATCAAACTGTGGCTTTGTAATTGGTAAAACAACTTTCCTGAATCTGTACATCTATGTGTGTGTGTCTAAGTGTGCGCACTCATTTGTAAGATGGCTCAGTCCTCCTCACCGATAAAGTTCAAATATCTTCATCAGAGCTAATAGGTCCCTTATGATCCAGTTTCTGCTCACCTCCCAGACTCAAATGCCCATTCTCCAGCCCAACTGTGATTTGTCAGTCCCAACCATATTGAACAACCAATAATTTCCTAAAACCTTTAATACTTGGATCACTGCACATGCTGTTTATTTGTCCAGAATGTTCCCCACCCCTACCCCCCCAACCTCATCTGCCTGACACACTTTCAATCACCCTTTAGCTCTCAGCTGGAAGGAATGGGTCTCTGATCTCTGGGGTCAGCCACTGGCCTCTCCTCTGTGCTCCTATAACTCCTGAACTGAGCCCCAGAGAAGTACTTATCACATTATATTAAGACAGTGTGTTTACTTACCTGCCTCTCCCTG